TTCCCCCGGAGGAGCTGGAGGAAGTGTCTGGAGAGAGGGAAGTCTGGGCATCTTTGCTTAGACTGCTGCCCCCGCAACCCGGTCCCGGATAAGCGGAGGAAAATGGATGGATGGTCACTTTGGAGGGTGAAGTTTATGCTGCTGTTTAACTGTACTGCATTGTAGTAAGAAAAAAAACCTAGAATTTAAACATCACTGTGCATCTGGCAAATATGACAAAAAGTTTTGAGATGTAATCAGGTCATTCCTGAGTTGTAAAATGTGAAAATCATCTAAAATTAAGGCAACAAAACACCACATTATGTGAAATACAGTGAACAGTAGGGTGTAAAATACATTTAATCTGTACGTGAAGGGCACAGTCCAGGCTTTCTGTACCATGAAGCAGAGGCTGCATCAACATTATAAAATACAATTTTTATAAAAGGAGTAGTACATATTTTTGTTGGTTCACATTTCCAAAACCAAAAGCAAGTGAATCTGTTTTGTTAGGATGAGTACAAATATTCCAGCCAGTGGTCGATTTTATCCTGTACTGCATCTTGACTATATTGTGTACTAAGTGCTAAATGCATCTCTCCAGCAGCAGAGTAACACCTTAACAACCTTAATCACCACTGTCAGACTTAACTCCTCCTTGTCAGTGGAACACACACACACTCTGACTCACTACCACCACCGACCTTACCTGCTCTTCTGGCAGGCGGAGCAGAGCCAGGCTTTGTCTCGCTTGCTGTAGACTCGGCAGGCCTTGCAGACGTTGTAGCGGCAGTCGTGGCACTGGCGCCTAGGGTTGAGCAGGAAGGTGAAGGGCGAACAGCAGCGGATGCAGCAGCGCTGGTTGAAGCACCGCTGCCGTGACAGCAGGCGGCAGCGACTGCCTTCCTCATGCAGCTCCTGCTTCAGTTCACTGTGGGAAGGAGGGGGAGGATTAGAGAAGGAAGAGATGGTTAGAGGGAGAAAGATAGTGAAACCACAAATGTGTGTGTTGCACAAAATCTGGTCAATATCGAGAGCATTTAAGTTGGGTTAGATGTGTGACAGTGCATAGAATGAGAAGGGGAAAATCTAGCTCAGCTCCAAGGATAAGTCATGGATTTACTGTGTCATACAGGAAGATTATCACAGTGAGGACACGGAATGTGCACACACACCCACACGCAAAAAAAGAGTCACAAATCCTGTGCCTCCCTTTACTGAAAATGGAGCAGAAATTAAAGTTTTTTATGTTGGTCATTTCTCCTGTTCTAAATATAATTAAAAAGTAAATGATTGAAAAAGCTGCAATGTCTGAAAGATCACTTAATGTACATTATTAAATCAAGGGGGTGAACTGTCTGAAGAACATTATCAAGAGAGATTTTCATTCATAAACATCTTTCACATTCATACAGTCATGTAATACATTCTGAACTGATTATATGTTGCACCAACCGAGCACACAAGCCATCATTTATTTAAACAGCACAGCTGATGCAACAGTAGTGTTTTATATAAAACAAATGTTTGTGCACTAATAAAGAACTGTTGTTGAAAGAATGTTTCATAAGTGCAACGCTGAGAGGAGTTCATCTTTGAGTATATAGACCAATAGGTTCTGGGTCCAGATCATTTAAACCTTTATAAACTAATAAAAGGGAAATTAACTAATTAATCCTTGTTACCAGGCCAGAAGTGCCATAATGTGGTCCCTCTTCAAGTTCTGCGTTAAAAGCCTACATACCATCAACCAAAAAATGAACTTTGAACCTAAGATTCATTACATTTTAGACCCTCTCTATAGGATACAGTAAATGCAAAAGCACATCAATACTAAAAGTCTGCAAATAAAGGTTTAAAGATTTAGAGCACAACAAATCTCCCTCTCATGCACCCATGCAGCTGTCAAATATCTGACATATTTGCACACACTGCTGGTTTGTCTGCATGTCCCCCTCCATAAAAATGCTAAAGAAGGCCAGTGTAATGAACAGTTAGATACACTACACTTTAAATAAATGCAGACATGTCACACTAAAAAAGGATGGAATAAGAAATTACAGTAGGTAAATGAGATGGAGTGGTGCTAGAAGTGTAAAAAAAAAAAATCCAATATTTTCATATCAGGACTGCAGGAGCATCACCATGACTAAATCATTTACAGGTGATTACAGCTGGAGACCAAAGCAGTCTGACAACACAAGGACAGAGCCTGAGAGAAATCCACTTCCTGAAATGGCTAAAGTAAATAGCTGTGTGGTTTATGTACAGAATGAATAAGTGATTTGTATATGGAAAGAGTAGCATCAGAGAGAAAAAACAAGACAAAAACTCAAAGTGGTTGATTATAACAACTTATATGACTGACTCTGGGCCTTTGTGTGTGGAGTCTGCATGCTCTCCCTGTGGCTGGGTGGGTTCACGCCGGGTACTCTGGCGTTCTCCCACAGTCCAAAGACATGCAGGTTAGGTTGACTGGCGACTTTAAATTGTCGGCAGGAGTGTGAGTGTCTGTCTCTAAGTGTCAGCCCTGTGATAGACTGGCAACCTGTCCAGGATGGAGTCCGCCATTCGCGTAATGTCAGCTGGGACTGGCTCCAGCCCCCCCCAACCCCGCAACCCAATTCAGGAATAAGTGGTATAGATAATGGGTGGAAACTTTGATAGTGAAAATAATCAGGCCTCAAAGTATAAATCAATTAATTAAGTCTAAAATGTGAGAAAGTAGTTAACAAGAAAAACAACAGCCTCTCAGGTTCCTAAAGCCCAAATGTCTCATTTTGTCCAAAAAGCAGTCGAAAACAACCTTGAGAAGCAGGAA